TCTTATCTCTAGCTTCATTCTGATTCCTCTAACTGCGACTGCTTATTCAGTTTAATTTCTTTTCCGTGGCAATGACAAGTGTTTTATACCTTGCCTTTTAACTACCAGATAATGCTGTAATTTCGGAGTATCCATCACGTTATTGCTCAGAAGATGCCAGCTCTAACACTGAAACAAGGGCAGGAGGGGACAGCCTTCGTAAGCAGTAATAGGAGAGCCCAGACTGCAACAACATGAGCCATGACTAGTGTCCTGAACTGCTCCAGGACAGGAGTCAGTGTGTCGACTTGTCAGGCCGAAAAAGCTGAAGAGCCTCAGCTCCTCAGGCTGCACTTTCATCTGAGGGGAAAAGGCAGGAGAGAGAGAGAGGGCAGGGGGAGAGAAGAAAAAGGTGTTGAGAGCAGCTTTTTCTGAGTCAGTGCTCAGTCCAGTGGTTTTTCTACACAGGATTTCTTATATCCTATTATGAAATGACACCGATGTGTGCGAAACGTGTTATTTTTTAGGCCACGGATGAATATATATATATTTGTCTTTTCTGCATAAACAAAAAGTGAGACGTATCTTCACACCATATGTGATTGATGATGTAAGTCGTGGTCAATAACTGCTTTTAACTGTGATGGTAAAATGTAAGTTTCTGTAATAGTCGACATATTATCCTTCCCGCTGAGTGACATCACTGCAGCGTAAGAGGAATTGTGAAGTCGGTCACACAGCATTGTCGTATCTACTCTGTCACATATCACATCTGATGTGGACCGGTGGCTGTGTTGTGCTTTGTGTCCAAATTCAACATTTTGTTCAAAAGAAGACTCGAGCTGCACAATGAGCGAATGTTTGGAGGAACGTCTCTTTTTAAATGGCGGCAGGATTCAGTGTATGCTACTGGCCTGTTGTCAAGGAAGCTGTTGCAAATCCTTTCCCCGCTGTGCTTTTTGTGGAAAAACAAGAAGGTAAATTAAAAAGTGCAGGGTGTGTGGCAGCCCACCTCCGGTCCACAGTTTGACCCCAGCAGCACTTGGCACCTCTGCTGTCCCCTCCCCGGCTTCCATCTCCTGCTCTACACACAGAGAGGGGACAGGAAATGAATATTTTCAGACACCTTTTAAAATTCTGAATGGAACAACAGCTCAAAGCTGTGTGCTGTTGTTTTCCATAAACAGCCCAAAAAAGTTAAAGGGAATATTTTTGAGGCGCTTCCTCAGACGGAGTCGACCAGACTTTTCAAATTTGTTTCTTTGCTCCCAGGGCGCCATCTGGCTCGTTATTGAATTATACTCTCGTTTACCGTTTTCTGCACATAAAAGAACAAAAACAGCTCAAAGCAACAAGAAAAAAAGAAGAAGCTGTGTATAATATGAGCAGAGCAGTAGAGACCCCACCAGTGTCATGACTAGGTTCTGGTAGCTCAAAGATAACGCTGTCTGCAGAGGGGGAAAAATCAGTGTAGAAATGAGGTCTTTGGTTTGGGTCTAGTTGTGGAGCGAGGGCTTAGAAACAAGTCCATATCAGTGTAACTGTCTTCTCCTCCAAGTAATTCAACCTAAGTCAAGCTTCTTTTTAGTCACATTTTCTTGAAATGTAGGTTCCCTGTTGTTTTATCAAGTTAATGATAAGATTTTGTGGCTGTAACATTGAAAAACACTTCTCACTTTTCTTTTTTCTAGTCACAGATTATGCGATTTGGTTTCATCAGACAAAAATATTATGTATTATACAGATGTATCACAACTGGTATGTGGTAACTTTGATATGTTCTTACTGGAATTTTTATGTCAAGAGAGGGAGGGAAATAAATATTTGAGGTGGTAGCAGTAAACTAGCTCTGTAATAAGCTGTTTGTATACAAACTAATCTTTTCTGGTCCACTTCAGGCTAACTTCTAATATGTGCATTTACTGCACATTCACATTATGGCCATGGATTTTGATGCAATGCCAAACATCCCAGCATCACTTTGGGCTGGGTTTTGTTTTCAAGCCAAATGAAAAGAAGAGCCCAGTAAGTTGGACGTTGTGATTTATTTGGATTGCAGCAAAATATTGGCATTCAATATGCCAATATCTAAAATGATTGACATGCCCAGATATAAAACTGACAAAAAAATATAATTGAATACTTAATTGAATTATTTCCATTACGTTAATCTTTCAAAAATTGACACAGCTCTATGTGAATAGTGAAGTTGAATTTTAAAAACAGTGTGAAGCTTTGCTTTTTTCAATGTCAGAACACATTTTCTAAGAAGACGATGAAGGCTACTCAACATGATCAGATTGAAAAAATCCATATAGTGATTATTTATGACCCATACGTCACAAGCCAAACAAATAATCTCAACAACAATGGGTTTCCCATCCCACTCTGCCACCCTGCAGCCTATCCTTTCATTGTTTCTTTCTCATTTTATTTGCATGCCTCCTCCTCTGTTTTCCATTGTTAAAATCCTCCCATATGCTCTGCTCCATCTAAGCAGGTGGTGAACCACAGGTGCGCCCTCCACCTCCACCTGCACTGGCATCCATCCCATGTGCCCAAATTTATGTTGCTGCTGGGGTCGCTAATCAGCTGTGGACATTTCACTGACCTCTTAGTGGCCTTGGAGTACGACTCACACTATTTATTTTGTTAAAGACTCATTTCGAGATGCGCAATCGTCAATTATGTTGCCGCTCTTTCTTTTCCGTATCACAAGTTTTTATGAATGGAGTAAATATGGCTGGGTAGCAATTTTGCTACCCAGATCGTTAGTGATTTGAAGAGAAGGAATTATGCAGGTTCGAGAAAGCAGTGACACTGACAGTTAATAAAATTCCTTTAAAAACAACCAGTTTAAAAAGCATTATGACATTTTGGAGTTTTTTTCACTCAGTAACCTGGATCTCAATCTAAATGTGTTATTACATTGGCACAGTTTTGTTTAATGCTCTGCAGTTATATGCAGTTAAGAGTGTTTTTAGTGTCATCTGTACAAATTCATTATGCCTTAGGTTAGTCCTGGTGTGCTTAAAGTACTCACATTTCTACAGAATGTGCATCCCATTTAACAGCATTTTACCGATCACGTGTGCATGTTTTGATATTTTCAAAATGATTTGACTGGAAAAGCATATTAGACAAAAAAGACAGAGTGCCTGATCAGTATCCCTCAGCTTTGATGTAAACGATTCTCATTAAATGGGTCCACAGAGGTCTCCTGCTCATGGTCCTGCAACACAGAAGGAGTGAGAGCTGCTTATCTGTAGCAGGAGAAACATGCTGAGGGGGTGGGAGATGTGACAGGACTGCTAAGCTTTGTAAATGGATAAAAGAACCCCTGTATAGCTGAGCTGAGGATGTGCTGAGAATAAAAGGAGCGAAGGGGACAGAAGTGGATGACAGACAATTCCGCATCACTCATAGTGGTCAGTTATCATCTTAAGCATCGTCAAGATAGTTCTCCAGATCGGTTTCTCATTCTGCCTTTTACTGAGCTGTGACTTTGTCAAGGGCACAAAAAGCTGAAACATGGGCTCATTGTGTGTTTTCAGCGGTACTGTTAGTCATACTCCTGCACACGGTCTCTATCTTTTGAATAATTGCATTTGCTCCACTTTGCAAATTCATTTTTTGTTCCTTTCTTCAGCAGCATACAAATGTCCACCCTTATTACAAAGTGTTACCACTTGCAAACCTACTGATAAATGGGACTATGATTATTATTATTTAAACATTTTTATGATATGATATATTGTTCCATGAGTGGATGCCATAAATTGTGGATTTTAGGATTGTACATGCAATATATGACTGTGGAATAATGAAATTGTATAAAATGTTTTTAAAGCAAAAACTATTTACTGCATTAAGTGAAAAAAATCAATAATACGATTTAAATTAAAGGAAGCCAGAACTAATTCTGATGAGATGTGGCTTTACAAAACACCTATTATCCCTGACTAACACAGTCTACTCACTTGATCTGTGGATGCCATGTGTGTATATGTGAGTATGTATGGAGGAAGTGCTTGAGCCTGTCCAATGCCACACACAGAGAATGAAATCCTTTCTTTTTGTTATGGTATGATGTCGGCTAAAATGTTGGGTAGCTTCTTGTGTAAATAGACATTTATAATTTGATATGTAGTCAAATTTCATTCAGTGTGCAATCATGGTAACATGGTAAAATGTTAAAGTATAGTTAAACCGTCATAATTTTGATACAAGCCCAAAAGAACATACACATGAATTTTGGGATCCTCCTGAATATTTTAAAGCTAATGTTACAGACTTGCATTTGCTTTAATAAGTTATCACAGATAAACCCATGGACACATACAAATGAATGCCAGTATAAACAAAGAATTTAGTGTGATGTCTTTCTTAACCATGTAAAGAAAAAAGAGAAAAAACACTTGACATTTTATTAAGCAGCTCTTACAGCATTTATGAGTATGTGTCTCCGCCTGCGTCAGCACAGTTCTCATCAACCAGCAAACAAACAGTTGTTTGAAGGTCGCTATCTTTTATCTTAACGGAGTCATAAACATAGGATTTTAAACTGTTTTTTGATTGAAAACTTTAGGCATGAATTATATACCTCCAATAACATGCTAATATGACACTGTTTTTCTATAAAACATTTTTTTTCGAAGACTGATAAGTTATAAATGTTTTATAAGAAAAGCCTTTTTTTGGTTGCCAGGTTGAGAAGAAAAAAGATTTTCCTTCTTCTACTGGTTTATACATTACATGAGTATTCATCCAAAGGACCGTTTTACTGCTTACCTACAGAGTGTATCTGCACAAACAACGCTCATTTGAGGATTTACTGCAGGGTGGCGAGGGCTTATTAAGGAGGATGTATTGATTCGTTTAAAAATGCATTAACTGAAGTTAAAGTCAGCCTGGCTGATTCCTCTTTTTCTTACATGTAAGCTGGTGTTTCAAGTGGAAGATGTGACTGACCAATCACAATAGATTTACGTAATCAAAAAGAGTTTTAGTATTAAAGTATCATGTATTTGTATGTCCTCTTAACAGATAAATCCACCTATGATGCCTCTGGTTCCCCGCCTTTACCGATTGAGCCCACAGTCACGGGTGCTACTGTCCATCTATCGGCTGACCTGCCGGCTGCGGAGGAGGCGCCTCTCTCATCCGTCCACTCAGATGGTGACTCCGAGTCTGAGAGGGAAGGTTTGTCGGGGAAGCCTGCTTTTTCCTCTGTCTTAACCGTGATTGCAGGAACTGTCAAACATCCATCAAGCCTTGATCACAGTAGAACCTTGCCGAGTGTCAGCAAGGAAGAGACCCAAACCACCCAATGGCCTTCACACAGTTCCAGCCGAAGTTTGGACGAGGTGTCCTCCTCAGCGTCCTCTGTGGGAGACAGGATCCATAAAGCCAGCTCAGGTCTGATTCTTAGCATGTCTGACAAACAGGGCACTCCACATAAGGCCCTTGGCTCTGCCGTGTCCAGGCCAGTGCATGTGTCATCAACGGACGGAAAGATGAGTTTCTCATCATTTCCATTTTTATCAGTGACTTCAATGTCTTCTTCAGTTCAGTCCCTGTCCTCTTTGCCATCATCCCTTGTCTCTTTATTTTTTCCATCATCACCCTCTAAGCAGATAAACAAAGCAGATTTTTCTCGTGGCCAGGGAATTGTGTCCAGTCCTTCTCCTCTGACGGACACAGCAACATTATCACCAGCAGGGCGTCAGGGTTGGACAGACACTCTAACAACTACAGAATCCATCTCTCCTTCAGTTGGTGACCTACGTGCTGTAAGACAGGGGATTCGAAATGCAACAAGGAAACCAGCAAACTTTACGAGCGAAGCCAGCTCCGAAGAAAGCAATAACATAAAGAAACACTCCTTGTACTCAGCCGAGGATAAGATTAATCATATCTACATGAGGAGTGCAATCACAAATACAATCCACAGAACTGCATCCAGCTCATTTTTATCATATCCTACTTCTGACGTTAATCTTGCTCTCTCAGATAATTTGTACAGGCCCACTCAAAATCAGAACACAGTCGTGAACTCTGTATCTGCCAATAATTTTGAAATTAGTCCTTCAATTCCCTTCAATCAAGAGAGTCAAGCTGTTCAAAGGCAGCAGGGAGCTGCTCAGCATCTCGCATCAGCTCTGCTGTCTGCCCGTCCAAAAAGCTATTCACTTTCTAGTCATGTCACACAGCAGATGTTACACCAAACAGCATATAGCAAAAAGGAAGGCAGGACTGCATTAGATAGTCACACTTTACTTCACACAAGCAATGCAGTCGTGTCGCCCCTCCGTTCACATGTTTTAAATCCAACTGTGACACCAACAATGACCTTCACACCCAGCAGATTTTTCACTATTTCCTCTGAGTCTTTGCCAGATCAAACGTCTCTCTCTCAAACTTCATTGGCCAAACTAACACGTATCCACTCTGGCACAGTGTCCTCAGGGCATGCATCTAATCCTGGTGATTTACTGTTGACAATGGGTCACAGCAGCCCCAGCCTTCCTGCCATCACCATAAATTACAACCCGGGTGTGATAGCAGGAGCAGAGCTCAGATCTGCTTCCACTCAAGCTCACCTGAGTAATTCATTTCAGCTCAGGCCCGAGTCCACCAATGGTCCCCCCCTTAAATCAAGCAGCAGAGAGGAATCCACCTCATCCGCATCAGAGTCATCTTTGGCCAGAGATATTCAGGGGCCTGTAACACAAACCAGGTCTTCCAAGGGTTTAACTGACACAGGACTAAAAACGGTATTAACCTCTAGCAATAGGACAACATCTCCTTCAGAGCCACCAGAGTTAGTGAATTCTACGACCTACAAAGCTAAGCATAGAACTAGTTCAGATCTCACTCAGCCAGCGTCCCTAACTCTGGGTAAAAACTCTGACCGGTATGCTATAGGTGTGTCTCCACAAGTGTATTATAAAATGGAGGCTCATTCTACACCACCAGTAAGCTCCACAGAAGTAGCTCTTCAAACAAAACCTTTGTTTACTTTGTCCTTGAAATTTGACACTGCTGCTTTAACTTCCAAGAAATCTCAGCACACAGAAGAGTCTCCTATCAAAATCTCTGCCTTTGCAAAATCAGAGGGCTCCACCGAGGTCCGCATTGGGCCGCATTACGCCGCATCAGGACTTGCAAAACTTCAAAATGTTGCAACATATGCGAATCATTTTGACCAATCTTCTTCTTCTTCTTTATCGGGAAGCATCCCGACACACACGACAAGCTCCTTCTCTCTCGGACCAATCACCAGCGATACATCACAGTCATTTTTCAGCACACAAACAGGCATTGCCTCCAGTGGCTCCTCTGCGTTCACTTCCTCCCCCGGTGACGGACAGCGCAGCGTGGAGACACCCAGCACTATTTTCAGCTTTGGCACAAAACTAACGGCTCTATATACAAAGTGGAAAGCCAACAAGCCCATGCTTTCTCAAAGCAGCACTTCTAAATCAGAAAATGTATCTGCTGGCTTTGACGGGGCAAAACCAAATTTACCAGCAGATGGCTCGTCGTATGAACATCCAGGCCTGGACGACAGACAAGAGCACAATGTGTACACATTTAATTCAGATGATTCAACAACTGCCCCAAGTGATTTATATCCAGTCCATTCAAATGTTGGAGTATATCCATCTTTTACCTATGAGGGTATATTGTCTGGATATAAAGAGAAGGGTCTTGATGGGTCTCCTGCTTATCTCCAATCTGCTGAGGCTGACAATGAACAACCAAGTGTCACTGTGAACGCTGCTGCTACATCAGCCCGGGGTTCAGATGCCTCTCTGGCCCTCTCTTACATAACTACGGATTCTGAAACATCCTCCCAAGCTACTTCTCTTGCATTAGTGTACAACAGCACGCAGACCCCCCCGCTGGCCAACGCTCACACTACTAAATCTAGATTTCACTCAGCTGCCACATTTCCCAATGACGTTAACACAATTCTGAAGAGATTGACTCCATCAGCCGATTTGGTGTCATTTCATCCCTCATCACCACCTGAAACCTTTCCTTCATCATCATCTCCTCAGTTTGCCTGGTTGTACCGGCAACCCGCTGCCTCTGTGTTCCCTTTTCCCACACCATTCACGTATCCAGCTGAAACAACGTTGTCTGTTTCTGTGAATCCCGTGTTTTCGTCATCATCGACAGCTTTGACCTCATCGCTAGATTCTCAGCGCTCACAGGAAGTGACAGCGTTGCTTGATCTTGCAGAAGCAGAGACGGACGAGGCGGCTCCTGAAACATCGAAGTCGGTTGTGCTCGCTTTCCCCAAAGAAAAAGAGGCCAGTCTGGTCCCGTCTCCAGCAGACAGGATCCCCCTTTTTCCTGGACCCACCCAGGGGACATCTCAGGTACCACTGCTGACCCCACAACAGGACACCACAACAGCCTCGGCGAAACCCCCCAGCACTACCGCGGCTTCAGCCACGAAAAGCCCCGCCCATCCCACGCCAACCCAGCCCAGCTACACAACCACGACAAAGCCCACCCCTATCACCAGGAGAACCACAACCACCGCCGCCGTCAGGTCTCACACCAGCAGGAGAACGTTCACGCCACCCGTCCCGAGAACAAGTCCCCCGAAGGAGGCCCCCACAGTCTTCATCTCGCCCTTTACCACCACCACAGAGGCTCCCCCGCCACAGTGCAACATCACAGAGAGACTGTGGGTGAAAACAGGTAAACTGTCTCTTCTACAACAGTCACGGACAAAAAAAAGAAACTTTGAAGGCACATTTCTCTTATATGTTTGTCCACTGTCTGATTTATTTTTCTGTCCCAGTTGTTTCCATCTATGTGAGAAGAAACAGGCTGGATAGCATTCAGAGGCAGAACCTGCGAAGGGGACTGAGTCAAGGTCTCAGGAAAGCTCTGAATGATACATCTGCCCAAGCGCAGGTCAGGCTGCAAAGTAGCTACTAGTCAATTATTCCAAAGCTGCAGTTTCATCTACATACCAGGTTGTTACAATACATGTGTTTCTGTGCATATGCATGAGAAATGCAAATAACTGAATGTACCACAGATTTGTAATATTTCTCACTTTTAATGTTCTGGATTTTAACTGCAGAAGTACGTTCGTCACCTCTTTTAAGATAACATACCCAGTATATCATCTAAAGGCTATGCTCTGACTTATCCTGTCCCCTCTATTATTTGTATAAATGTTGCATATCTAGTTTGTCCAAATATGGTTCTTGAGCAATGTGATTTCATTTTTCACCATCAGATCCCTTTTCTCTCTCTTCTCTTTTTTCCATCTCTTACTTTTACCATCAATCAGTTTTGACCAAATACAACCAAACCAGATAACCAAATACAAAAGGTAATAACTTTCCACCTGTAGCAGAGGCAGGTAACAGGAAACACAGTGCCCATCTCTAAACATGCAACACAGTGGAAATGACTGTTTATCCTTGTATGTGGATGTTTGGCTAGTTTCACATTTATTTTGCAGAGGCTGTGAGATCCTGGGATGCTACATGGTTACAGGTGGCTGCTTGATGAATAATTTAAAAAAACTTTCTCCTTCTTTGCATTAATCAAATTCTTCACACTTTTATGCATCCACTTACTGGTATGTTGGCTCCACACCATGCATTTTAAGCTGTCCAGTTAAGTGTTCTGCTAAAGGTGGCAGGTAAAGATTGAAGGAAAAGTAGAAAAAAAAAAAATTTTATGCTTCCTTCATGATAATAAATCTTGGAGCTGGTCCAAGGCGTGGACATTATTTAGACGTAGCCACAAAATCGATATTAAGTTTCCAACAACTTACTGTTCTTTTTTTTTTACCACTGTCCCTTTGAATATAATCTGATATCATCTATGCACATGAATATTGAAAAACTTGTTTACAGTTCATGTGATAACCTTTGATGTTGCGGCTCTGTTGCGGACTCCCCTGCCTCTGACATGCAGGAGTGGAATGCCCGAGGAAGAAAATACAGCAGTAAAAGAGCTTCCAAAATAAAAAAAAACAGAGCAGCATCAATTACAAACATATAAATGATTAATTCATATATACAGTGCTTTTTTTGTGGATGGGAGGCCACAGAGCAAGTAGTGGATTCCCATAAGCCTTACTGACTACATTACCTGTCGTTCCATGTTGGACATTACCTATGCATACATTTTTTACATTTTAAGTGCTTTATTTTGAGAGGTGTCAACAATTCCAGCTGTTTTGCTAAGAATTTGTTTCAATTTGATCAATAGTTGTGCTTTTCATCGAGAGAGAATAGAAACATATAATTCAAATCAGCTTCTATAACTGGTTAATAGCTTCTAGATTTAGTCCTCCCCCAAAAAACTGGATGAATATTATTATACTGAGGACTATCATGTAGGCTATGTGGTGAGATGAGGACCAATATAGAAATTAGGTTGACTGACTGTGTCCCAAAAGACAGAGCATGGTGTCACATGTTTGAGTAACTGTACCAACATTAAATTGCGGTGTAGATGAAAACTGTTGCAGAGCCTCTGATACATTAAAAACAAAAACAGGCTTGTGTCTGCAAGCAAAGGTGACATGAATCTATCCATATTACAGAAGAATAGACACAGTTTTCAGAAGCTCTCCCGCAAACCCTAAGAGCTTGAAAAAGGACGACTGGACTTCAAAGCTCTTCAGATTACCACGACCCGGATGAGTGAGAATCACCTACATACAAACTTGACAATGTTAGTGAAATGTGTGTTTTATGTGCATACATTGCTGGTTGAGTTACAGTATTCTAACGGGAAACCCAAAACGACTTAACAAAGAAAGGGAATCCTTCATCCTCCATAGGTTGCTGTTTGCGTATAGGTGCAATCTTGTAAATGTTTTTTTCGTTCTGTATTTTTTGAGCTTGAAGTATCAAATAGTGAGGCCTGTGTTTCCACCCTGGTCACGTGAAGGTCAGTGTTTGCACATGCTCACCCTCCATGTCTCTTTGTAGTCTCAGAAGGTGTCTTGCTTCAGTGCACCTCTGTCACCCATTTCAACATTGCATGGGTTCCTTTTAGCTGCAGTGCTCTCTCATCCAATGGGAAGCAAGCTGTTAGCCAGGGAAATTGCTTCTGTGTTTAATTATAGGCTATAAACGGTTGGGAGGAGAGCGATGTGCCAGGCTGATGCTTAAAAGATGATGAGAAATGGACTGAATGAAGTGAACCATAGGACTGACACTATTTTTCAAAAAATAATGGCAAACCATTTTTGTGTCTTTCATGCAGTTCCACCTCTTAGACCAGAAACTTTTTGAATTCCAGATCTGGGACCTGTTAGGTTATTGCACTGCTGTCAGTCGCACTCTACGAGATAGAGTTAATAAGTGTGTTCCAAATGCAATCTCTTAATAACACCTTCGCATGTGTGAAGCCTGAGAGGATGAAGTGTTAATAAAGGGCTCTTTTCACAGAGCTTGTAACAAGGCTGAAATGCAAAGAGGTAGAGAAATGACTTTCAGCTACAGAGACTAGAATCTTTCAGTGTTTTGACCCCCTTGTCAGCGCCGGCTTTCAGGTGGGTTTAGGTAATGGATCTGAGTGGTATCGCCTCTCCTACGCACATACCTATATCTGTCACCATTACCTTTCCGGTCTCCACCAATCTAAAGTTCAATGAAAAGTCTAAGTCACCTTGACAAACAAATGCACATTGTACTGTGTCATGACACAGAGTTTCTGAAACACACAGACTTTGTATTTCTGTGACAATGTGAACCGTGCCACCTGACCTTATCAGAAAAGCCTCTCTGTTCCTCTGTTGGGCAATCTCTCCTCATTTTGCCGGGCTTAGCCTTTCTCTCTATCCATCGATGCCCCTCATGTTCCCCCAGTTTTTCACAACCATTCCACATCATCTCTTGTTATTTTACTCTCACGGGTTATCGTGTTAGTTTATAAGCTATCACTCAGCTTGTAAGCTAATACGACCTCTAGTGTTTGTGCATTTACAGAGCATGCTGGCACAGATCCGGGCAGGTGATCTCTGTCAGCTCAGCTTCAGTTTAGATTTTGATGTAGTCGAATGCAGTATTGGAATTGTAACACATAAATAAGATAAAAAAGGGAAGCAGCTTTCAGCTTTTCAAACAAAAAAAAAGTCAATTCTATTATTGTATTTTCAGTAATGATACATATCAATCAGCTGCATGGTGACATCATATTTTTACTATATGATGACATATGTGTCATATTTGATACATATGATCTCTAAAATGTTTTGCATCTGAGACCTTTTGCATCATTTAACGGTAAAAACTTTGCTCAAAACCCTGTTGTACACAATCAGATATATGTGATAAGAGTGGACAGAAGACTACCCAGCAATAATTTGTACTTATTGCACTGTAATACAATATGATGGGGCCAAATAAAGAAATATCTATTTTTTCTTGAATCAGGATTTAAAGGCTCAAGTAAGGGTCATGACATTTTATGTAAATTTTATTTTGTAAAAACAAAGATTGTCTATGCCTTAAATCTAAGTGACTTTGGTATAAAATATATCCACGGACGACAGTAGTTATCAGGACATGACCTGACAATCTGCTTATTACATGTCCAAGAAACATAAAAAAAATATTTTCCTAACCCTCTTAAGTATCTGTAATTCAAAATAAATTAAATTACATCTGCTTTTTTGCAAACTAAGAGGCAATTAAAAGAAAAAGAAGGAATTGTACAAATGTACATCACCAGTGATACACTCATTGGTTAGCTGCTGACACACAAGGACTTCTATTATAACTGATTTTAATAATAATATAAGAAGCAAACTTATTTGGCAACAGTGTAGTTTTAGAAAATGCCTGTGTAGTTGACGTTGTCTGTGATCAGTACTATTTCACAACATCAATGGACTGGATAGTAAACAGAAGTGTATGCTTCTGTCAATTTTTAGAGTGAAAAGATTGTGATCTGAGGTGAAACTGATTCTTGCAACAGAAAGCTGTGAAACACTTGTTCAAACTGGTGTCGTTCTACCATCTCTGCTCTTTCTTTCTGAGATTGGACACGTTCCCAAATAGGCCACTGAAAGATTTTTCTTCTTTCTCAACTTGCTTAGGTGGAGACTGTATTTGGTTCTCCCAACATGACAGTGGCTTATCACGTGACTGGAGGGGATATAGTTTACCCCCCATCGGTCGTAATGGAAGCCTTGGCGTCCTATGGCCGCGATAAGCTAATTGCAGACCTGCGACAGTATCTTCCCTTGGTAACAGCCTTGCCCCTTCCTGTTGCGTTGTGGAGAGCCAGCCCTGCCACCGGCTTCCAGCTGAAAACAGGTCAGTCAGTGCTCAGCTGGGAGGAAAAAATAAACGAATAACTCAGAGATAAGCTTGGGAGTTGCTCCTACCTGTCCCTCCGGTACACAGTCAAAGTAAAGAGAAAAATACAAGTTTTTTTAACCTGTACCAAAGACAAATGAAAATAGTAGAGTGAGAATGATTAAAGGTCTTTTGAAGTCATCTGAAATATGTATTCTCATATAATGATAATGTTATTTTTTATGCATTTGTATATTCAGTGTTACTTATTAAACACACCAATACACTAACAGAGTGTGAAGGATTCCTAAAAATGACTAACAGTTTGGCATCATGCTCTTTCTGTTCTAGTGTTGCAGTTTGTGGGAGCAGGTGATAAACCTCGATCCTGCCGCTTCTCTCAAATGATGGAACAAAGACTTGAGAAGGTGTTTTCTGAGGCACAGGCCAAAGTGTTCAACAGTATGAGCAGACTCTCAATACAGGTACTGTGGTGGAACAATAGAGCTTCACTTTATATCAGACAGGCCTTTTTTCGTTTCACCAGTCAAACATGTGATGCTGTGGTTGGTCGACTGATTATTGTAATAAATCAGTTATTAGGGAAAGTCAGCATGATGTTCCCAATTTCTTATCTGTGTTATGTACAAAGAACCTTTCAGGACCCAAACAAAGAGTACATTTGCTTGATATAATCACAGCATCTTAGAGTAGGCTTAAAATACTTTTATGTACTAGTGGCACACTTTTTTTCATGTTATTTGGCAGCTTCAGACAAAAACAAACTGTGCGCAATTTGGGTCAAATTGCCCCTTGGTGGGATATTTTTCTTTGGTACAAAAAAGATATCAATTATACTCAGGAGGCAATATTTGTATCAATTAAATATTTACGCAATACTGAAGCTAAGCTGATAGTTAGAGTAAACAGCTCTGCAATACTTTTACATACTTTCATTTCTTGCCAATATATTGGATGATTATTGATCTTATATGTGAATTACCTCCAAATTTCTGCATCACAGTGTACAGTACAGTTATAGGTATTTTGCTCACTAAAACCACATTCCTCTGACTCTTTTTGTTCCTCTGATCTGATCTGGTCCTGTTCTTTCCAGATGCTGAGTGTGTCTCAGGCAGCAGGCTTCCCTGCTGTGTCACTGGTCTACGCTGTGAGAAATGGGACCGTCTATCTCAACGGTACTGCTGCTTCAAATCTTCTCGGTCAGCTCTCTGCTGAGTTGGTGGGCTACTTCCTCTTCTATCCGCCGCTCATCATTGCTGAGCGTAAGTTGCACTTTGCATGCACACAAGCATATTTTAGACAGTCGACAAAAGGATTCATTCTAGAAAAACTAAATATTTGGAATTCAGTCTTTTAAATGGATAGACTGACAGTTTGATGTATTTTGATTTTTACAAATGTTCCGATTCCCTTAAAATCTGTCACAATATATTGCAAGAACGATGAGCCAGAGGCGCAGCAAAACTCGAAAAAGAAAAACTAAACTTAAAACTCCAACTGCTGAAGATTAATGGAGTAAACAAAGACCGTTGGAGAACAATGTTATCAGGGAAGTAGAAATAGGATGCAGGGGACACAGAGAGAACAAACTAAGAACCATAGAACAAAGAAAGATCCACAAAGCGTGTAAGAAAACATACAAAGCTAAACAACCACAATAGAAAGCAGAATGATAAATGAATCACAACCAGAGGCAAAACTCAAACTGGCCTCAGAGAAAGTCCCCAAAATTCAACTAATGACTATTCAGAATAAACACAAGTAGAGCCTGGTAGGATCTCATCCTTCTGTGAAGGTACATTCAGTTTCAATAGTTTTTAAGGTTGCTCAAGAAGACAGATTTAGAGTGACAGGGAACCAGCAAGAATCTAAACAACCACAGTGGAGTTCCAGTCTGTTTCCAGCTCCAGTGTAGCTGCTCAGCACAGAGACACGTGGCCAGTCTTATGTTGTAGCTCGTGAAGCTCAACATTTTCTAATGTTCTGGGGAGATTTACTCTCTCTATCAACCTCCTTTCCAATACATTCACAATTAAGGTCTGGGAAAGACACCCCTTCAACTAACACGCAGATTTAAAGCGGTACCACCTTAAGATTCTCAGCATATCTCAGAAAGGGGAGCTTACCCTCTTGAATAGAGCTCTTTGTGTGAATAAAAGCAGTCGGACCTTCACAGTGTACTGCTCTGAATCAATTTCTGGTGAACAAAGCATCCTCCATCATGCACTCTGAAGTCAAGCTCTCACATTACATGACAGTTTTATAATTAGCCTCTGAAAATCGTAGCTATCTGCAGGAGGATAACAATAAGTTATACTTGACGCTCTTTAAGGATCTAAGAGTCCAATTTTGATCCGTTCAAGTGTTTGAACCAAAGTCATTTAAGGTTTTTTGCAGGTCAGCATATTTCAATAATGTGGTTGTTGTGGTGGTCTGAGTGTTGTTGACACAGATCCTGTAATTCATATTTTATGTGGAATGCAGTTCTGTGCAAATAAATAGATCTGGTTAATGGAACCTGGCTGTAGATGGGAACACCATGTGCAAAGGACATGTCTGATTAACCTTTTTAAAACAGGATAACTAATTTAAACTCTTCTGGAGTCTAACCAGTAGCATTGTTTGGTTTAATCAAGGCTGTGGTCCATCTTGAAAAATGTTTATGTAAAATAATGCTTATAATGATATACATATTTGAGAATGCTTGAGCTATGCCTTAAGCCAACATCATTCCTGCGATATCTGAAAAATAAGTTCTATTGGCTTCCAGTGAATGCTGTCCTGTCTAATTTGTGTGTCACAAAATTGTCTCAGGAACTCTGTATGGTTATTGTGTTCACTTACACTCAAATGTTTAGTACAAAACCCATTTCCAGCTATAACTTGTGGATTCTCACACTAATTCCAGCATTAGAACATTTATCACATATTTAATGGGCCAGAACCATGAAATGATGAACCTCAAACTTGTAGCTGATCATATATCCAATTAGTTTCAGGCTGACAGTTGACACACTGTGCGTACCCTTCCTGAAGCTGCTGAAGCTGCTGAAACTGCCTGGTGTTGTTTTAGAAATGTGTGTAAAGAATCAGCATTTCATGACTTCATTACAACACTATCCTATTTTTGTGCTTTTGTGTGATATCAAGGCTTTTTCAGACTGCAGCTTTGACTTGTTTTGTACCCTCATGGAGATGCCGGTCTATTTATCTCGGGCCGATGGCCATTTTAATGCGGACTGACGGACAGGCTGCCCTCCAAAATGCTAACAATACAAAACTAAAGGCCAAAGCACTAAATCTCTTAAAAATCAAAAGAAGCACAGTTGAAAAGCACATATGGAAGCAGCACTGTGTTATACATGTATCCACTAACACATACACACATGTATATACACACACGTGTGTATAGATATAAAAGTAAAATTTAAGTGTAATGATTAAGGAATATAATGTGGATTCTTTTACACTGGCAATGTGATAAGAAGGCTTTAAAGGATTTAGAACCATCTCTATACTGAAATATGATATATAATTAAACCTGTCCATGTCTTAGCTCAGGGCTATGAGTTGCCTTTGCAGAAAGTTTCTCTCTCAATTACCACAATAACCTCCAGGATTCCATAGCTGTCAGAAAAGAGCTGCGGAGTTCATGACCTTTATTATTGACTTTTACTGTAGTGGCCTTTCCCTCGCTGCTGATGTGATGCGTTTGCAGATGACTGATGATCAGCTGAACCTGGTAAATAAAATACGATCACATAGTTCTCCCCTTCCATATGAGCTTGTGTATGCTCCAAACTGCAATGGACTTTGGGATGCATATAGAGATATTGAGTTAAGATCAAACATTTGGAGGTTTTGTCATCTAAGCAGAGTAGAAAAGGGGGCTGAGTTTCCTTGCCAAAATTACAGGAAACATTTGGGTTTTCTGGCCTGCATTTGATGCTGCTGTCGTTCTGGAAATGGATCTGCTCCTCATCTGCAATATAGCTTCAGGCGGATAGAAGTATTGATTTCATACTGTTTCAATGAAGGTAAACAGAAACTCTGTTAGCAAGCCTTAAATTAAAATTCACTTTGTGCCGTGATTGAATTAGGCCAGAAAATCCGGTTACCTGCAGGCAGGATGTTTCTCTGGCTGAGGAGACAAAGAAAGGAAGGCAAACGCCAAAGAAACAGGAGCAAAAACCGACGTGGAGGAAACCCAGTGAAACTGGAGCATTAAAGAAAGAACAAGAGCGTTTGTTTTGTTGCCACGCTGAAAGCGATATGACGCTGCTCACAGGAGGTGTGAGCATATGCTTGCAGCGGCTGCCACCTCACTTCAAAGCCAATTATTGCAGTAAATAATTAACAGTAGGGGATTCTCCCGCCACCGCAGGCCCTGGTCTGACAGAAAAGACCCAGGATCTCACTCCATTTCAAAGTTGCTGCTTCGTCACCGCAGTGTCAGTAGCGCTCACGTGTGTGTGTGTGTGTGTGTGTGTGTGTGTGTGTGGCTGTGTGTGTGACTCTTCCATCACTCCCTGGCAGTTTCTCTCAGGTGGAATGTGAATATTGACTGCAACTGAAAAAATACTCTCTGTGTGCAGTTGTAAAATATGAAATAGTGTTTTAATAATAGCTTTCTGTTAAAGAACATCATTTTTTTTTTCATTTTCTTCCAACAACTTCCGAATGCTCTTCGGTGTTTAACCCCCTGGCTCTCATAATAAACCAGCAAAGGTTCATGTGAAACCATCTACCTGATTTCTCTTCCACATGATTCAAGCCAATAGACTGCACCGGACTGGTTTTGCTGACAGCCCTGCAACCCTATCCATTACCAGTGCTAAAATCCTTACTGTTCCTCTCACCCCCTCTCTCCACACTCATCTTCCCTGTCATGCTTGAGTGTACAGTTCTGCGAGTTGGCTTTTACAGGCCACTGATACAGCATTCCCCCAAACACTGCTTCACCAGCCTCCAGCACAAGGGCTTAATAAGGCAGGAAATAGAGAGACACAAGCAGAGCTCAGACAGCTTAAAGCTCTGCGTTGGCTCTGTATTTGTCTGACATCCAGCGATAATAAAGCTTTAAGATGAGACTCAATCACAAAAGGAAAAAAAAAACATGTGCCAAAGTGTAAACGGCTCAGCTGTTTCATGGCATCTTAGCCTATGTGTTCCTGACCAACTGTGAACATTACATTCAGATGATTCTGCATTTCATTCCCATCAGTTAAAGGAAATATGCTTCAAAGTTAAGCAATGTCAAGATAAATGGAAGTACACTGCAGTGCAAAAAGAGGATATCTGGTTTAACTTTGCTTTTTTTTTCTTTGCAGCACTTGAATACCACAATCTGAACACGTCTATTGCAACCAGGGACTTCTGGGTTGTCACAGGTAGGGGGGTCACTGCTTAAATATCCATTATCTATACTGCTTATTTCCAGTGGGGCCTTGGGGAGGGGGGGGGGACAATAGTTGAGAGGTGGGGTACACCCTGGACGGGTCCCCAGGCCCTGCTTCACTTTTAAAACATAAGAAAAATCTTGACTTGTAGGTAAGTTTTAAGTGGCTCACTACAGAAGGTATAAACTAATATGAAGAAAAAAGACGTGACTCTATAACATCCACTTGTGCTGTTTGAAAAAGAAACTAAGACATCTGCTGGTGTTTACACTGTCTTTGCTCACATGAGGTTTATGGTCCCCCATAGTGTTTACGACGTGCTGAGTATCCGTACAGTTAAACTGTATGAATGGGTCCTTCAGATCAAGCTTTGAGCGAGCTGCAGTGAGAAGTCAAGTCAATGCAAAGTCAGAGTGAAAAGAGATGTACAAGCAATCCCATAGTTTCTCACCCGCTGACAAAGCACAGCACTTGTATCAGCCTTTTTTGCCGGCTTTTTTACAGTTAGGAGGGTGAAAAAGAAAAGCTGGGACACATCAGGCGAAAGTTTAAGACACCTTTTTATCGAAGAATGATTTGGAAGCAGGTAGTTCACCTATGTTTCCCTGTTGAGCTGAGAGATTGACATGCCCCCCCCATAGTCAGTGGATTCATGATTTTCTCTTACTTGTGGTTTGGAGGCTCGTTCTGCAGCTGTGTTGCAGCACATCCTGCTGCTGCTTGTTTAAAATTTGAATTTAAGGAGTTTAAATGTCAGATCAGTGCCGCAGGGTTTTTGTCATATTCCTCAACGTGTTATGTACTAAAAGATTTTCCATCAGACTTCAGCCCTGTCGGTTCTGACCAATCCCTGTCAAGTCAATACAGAAAACATGCAGCCAAACAGTCTTTTTCTTGGCACTATCGTTGGAAAATGGACCTAGAATCTCCAGGTGACTCAAACTATTTTGACGCCTGTCTGTCAAATAAAAATGGCAGTTTTTCTGCATGGTTCCTTCTCTTTCACATCTGTTGGGATTTTGCACTTTATAAATGTCAGAGAGGTGTGACTGTTAGTGTCTTCACCACGCTCCCTATCATGTTAGTAATTTCTCTTACGGGCTGACTGACTGGAGCTCCTCACTGATGGCTCACAGCTTCACCAACTGCCTTGATACAGCAGATATTTAGATAAATATTGTAAGTCTTTGCAGATCAGTTCTTTGGAGCATTTAAACACAGTAACTGCATTGATGATATACCTCAGATTTGAGCCATTTGACTCCAAAAAAAAAACAACTTTAGGAATTTCCATGTTAAAACGTACTTGTTTAATCATTGTATGCAATTAAGGTCAGAATTACGCTGATTATTAAATTATTAAATCTAAAAACGTTTAGTTCAAATTTCCCCTCAGTCCCTAAAGTCTACATAAATTCTATATAAGTCTGGAACATACACAAGGTCTCTTTTAAACCATTATTTTCAACTAGAACAATTTATTTCCTCTCATTCCCACCATCTGTCCATCTGTCTTTCGCTTCTATCTGCAGTGATCCAGGATGTTGACAATGCCAGCCTGGAGGGACAGTACCAAAGCTTTGCTAGTCTGATGGAGCAGCGGTTGGCAGAACTGTTTGTGCTGGCCGGCCAGCAGGGCACTCGTTTTAGACGAGCTACAACTGTGGGCAGCTACACCGTCCAGGTATGAAACTGATGATTTAAACTCTTATTCCAGTGTTTTGCCTGACTACTCTGATATGTTATTCAGGTGCCAAGTAAGTCCAGCTGTTTTAGTGGCTTAGTTCTGATATGAATATTTCATAAGTTATACACTCTGATAAACACATCTACATACACTTGACTGCTTATGATCAGTCCCCTATAATTAGGGAGCTTCTTGTGTCATAATCTGCTAATTGACCATCAAAACAGTCCAGTCATTGAATATATTACTTAACAAGCCCTGTTTTATGTTTGTGTAGTTTTTTACTCTTGTTTTCAGAACAAATGCATAGATTTATTTATTTGTTTTAATTTCTTGAATGTAAGCTGGAATATTGTGCAATTGCATGCTTGAACTGTGTTATACAGCACCTGTCTAGCTCATGGATAACAGTTCTTGTCTTTTCCTATCAGATGGTGAGCATCCACAGAGTTTCAGGGGTAAAGAACCCAGCAGAGATGACCTATTATGTCCAACACAATGGCATTCCCTTATCAGGCACCTCAGCTGCCAAGGTCCTGAACACAGTTGATTCTCAGACCATGGCACTCACCTTGGGCTATTTCGTCCAGCTGCAAGCAGAGCGTAAGCACTGACTCCGTCTCGCATTTTTCAGCTCATCAAATTGACAGAAACGGTCAGAGTAAGATATGCAAAAACCAGCATGCATGACTCATGAGGAGCTTGTGTGGAAAAAAGCTGGTTTGGAGTGAGGGACAAAGAAGAAAATGTTTCTCTGTAATCTCAAATGCTCTTAGTAGGACAGTGTTTGTTTGGGCTGCAGTGCTTCTCAGCACTGAGAAGCAAAGAGGAGGGGAGAACGGCCGAGTGCATGCGGTATTTTCTTATAGATTGTTGCCTACAATAGCTGATTCAGGCCCACCGTATGTCAGGCTCAGGGTGCACAGAGTCGCTTTGCGTGGGAGAGACCATTCCTTTGGCATGTTTTATAGTTTAACCAGACTCAGCAAATAGCTGATGAGTGGACAAATAGCTGTAAATAGTATTTAGGATTTAATTAAAATCAGGATATGAAGAGATGCTTTCTTTTTCAGCTGTGGTCAAGAACCCCTCTAATAACCTTTGGATAATCGCTGCAGTGTTGGCCCCAATCTCAGTGGTAACACTCATTATTATCATCATCACAGCTGTGCTGTGCAGGAAGAATAAGAATGACTTTAAAGCTGATGCCATCGGCAATCTCAATCCTCGAGCAAAGGTACCTGTCTTTCTTTTGTATCTGAAATCTAGCTGTTGTGTGTATCAGTTATGATGTGTGGGATACTTAACATAAATGATTTAAACTCACATGTTTTAAATTGGAGTCTTAATCTGTAGTCTAATCCATATTATCGACAGAGTCCAAACTAAGTTTCTGATTTTATTTCAGAATTGCCATTATTCTTGAACACACACAGGAACCAGGTGCATTGTTTGAATAAACAACACGTTCTTTTGTTTCAGATGGCATATCGGAGAGATGTGGGCTATTATCACCAGGTACCTATCTCTGTATTTCTTCTTATTACCGATCTGTGTTTCCATGGCATCGCTCATCTAACAGTGGGATTTGAATATGAGTTTGTGTAGACCGCACTACTGATATATTTCAGTGAGCCCTGCTGTGGGGATGAATACTAAGGCTGTAATAGCACTTTGGAGAAACAAACCTTTCACAATGGGGATTTTCTTCAATGCAAAGCAGGCATATCCTGTTCTTCAGCTCCAAATGGCAAATTCTGAAAGGTTAAGGTTGGTTATTTCAAAGTCTTTCACTCAAGCTGAAATGTTCATGTATCTATTTAGGCTTGTTTATTTTGCGTACGATTGAAAATTGCTTCCATTATTGCTGCATAAAATGTTAGCATCAAAGTCATTGTTTTTTTTTTTGTTGCTCTCATTGGTTCAGCCTAGCTGGCTTTAAACTGGGGAAAGTGAATGATAATGTACAATGCAACTCCCAGCATACGCCGCTGCTTTATTTACTACATTAAATTACAGGAAAAGCAACAAAATACTTTAAAATGTTAAACTGTGAAAGCCCTTCAGTTCCGCCTACATAGAAAAGGTTCTGCAACGTCTCGTCTTATAAAAGATGCACCTCAACAGTTTAATTGCATCAGATGTGATATGATATTAAGTGCCCTGAGAAGCCCACACCCCATTTTGGGCAGGTTTTATGCGCAGTCCATGCTAATAAGTTATGTTAGCCAGGGAAATCTTTAAAGGTAGCAACCAAGGTAGCAACTCCTGAAAATTTAAGTGTGGCTATCACTCTAGCTCCACTTCATCACTCAGTGTGTGCAAGCCTGCCCCCTTTATCGTATTTGCTTGCCAGAGTTTCTTTAAAGACCAGCAACAGTAACACTTTCAATGAAAGCCTTTACTCACTCTGTGTGTGCGTGTGTGTCTGCTCTGGAGAGGATTAATGTTCGGGGGAGTATCACACATTGATTTTTCACTTTGGCTGGGCTGCTTTGAGGCAGTGATGTGTGTCTGACAATTTATGACACTCATGACAGCAGTCCTAAATATTTCAGCGTATTTGTGTGTTTGTATTAGAATGTGCCTCGCCTCACAACTATAGGGGCCTCCTCTCTCTATAAATATGTTGATATCAAATGCAAAGTCACCTTGTTCCTCCCTGTTATTCAGAAAAGTATTCTTCATGCTTAGTTTCAGTATTGTATTTCAGCAACATTTTACAAACCTCATCCAGTTTCTCCCTGTGTTATAGAAATATATGTATAAATTGTAGATTTTGTAAAGAACATGGAAAAGGGCCTCAATTAAATCGTGCCTATCTATTTGAATGCGCAGCAGGGCAGTAATCCCAGTTCTGCTTTTAAATCCTTTGGACATCAAAATATACTATTTTCAGCTAAATCCAGATGCTTGTCTGTGTGACAGTAATGCTCTGTTAGCGTATATGTTTATTTCTCCCATAAGCGTTGGCCTTTTGTGACTTAAAAAACAAAGCAAATTCATCTTAAGCGACCTTCTCTGTCTCTTTTCGTTTTGACCTCGCTCGTCCACCAGCCAGTCCAGGGTTTCGACTACGCCAAGCAGCACCTGGGCCAACAGGGTGGAGATGAAGAGACACTGCCTGTCAGTCAGGATACATTAGTGATGTCCCTACAAATCCGGGACACATCGCTATCACTGGAAAAGGCACTGCAACAAGACGGGACAGCCAACAAGAAAAGCCTCACCGCTGACAAACACAAAAGGTACTGTATGCTCCTTTTCCAAAGAAACACATACAGTACATGGTGCCAAAGTTTGATCCTTGTAAAGGGTCTTCTTTTCAGTGTGCTACTCATTCACACAATCAAAATTCACAATGTTTTGTTCAGCCACTTTGAGCATTCGCAGTGGCATCATCTTGGATTTGCTAATGCAATATCACAGCATTTATTTCTGCCCACAACTGCAATATTTCTTCTCTCGCCGGGATTCTTTGTGGATGATTCAGCAAATTCAAAATATTCTCAGCTGTGTAAAGGTCTAAACTCTATGGTGGCCAATCCATGTGTGAAATTGATGTCGCATCCATCCCTGACCAGTCTTTTACAGTTTGAGCCTGATCACCTCTGACATTGTCACCCTGGAATATTGCCCTGCCCTCAGGGCAGAAAAATGTATTAATAGGAAAAACTGATTATTCAGCATATTAAGGTCAGTTTTTTTAGCCATGTACATTGCCAAACAAGTGAGGAAACTACAGATGATAATACTGTATACTATACGGTGCATGATGGATGTAGCACTTCATGGCTCTTCTTACCATGACATTACTGTTGCCCTGGTAACAGGTTGTCTGGACTCATCAGAATGTGTTATTCCAATTTCTCAATAGTCCAATCTTTGTACATATGTTTTGCAAAGGAAAGTCCTCTTCTATGGAATAACTCCATAGCAGATAATATAGTTGATGGTTTCTATTGATAACTAATAAATGACTTATCCAGCAGAACAACTTCTGCCTATCTGGAGCTGAGGTTTTCAAAGTTGGTTGGTAAAGGTTGGTAAAGTCTGTGAAGCTCATCACTAATTGAGAAATGAAATGCAATTAAAGTAGATTAAAGCTGATTTATTTTTTGTTTGATCCTGATTTTGATTGTGCTGATCAGCTCTTGGCGTCACTTTGGAGGCTTCTTCCTCTCCAGATAAGCTTCGGCTCTTGAAAGCCAATGGGCTTCCTTCCATGCTTTGTTGTTGTTGTTGAATTGCGTAATCTCCAAAGAAGTCCTGCACTGGACCATTGCTTTTGAGAGGCTTTTGGTCAACCTCACTTGGGGAGAACAATAATGGTCTCCCTCCATGTTTACAATAAATCTCTGTAGACCAGAGTCCAAACTCTTTTGAAATGGTTTTGTTACATTTTAGGCCACATGATTAATAAGATCTCTAGTTATTTTTAATGTGTCTAACATGTCTAACATACATCTATAAAATTCAATCGAGTTGAAGACATCTCCCCTCTTTGTTGCAGCCGTGACCGTGTCCACAACACTCCCTCAATTAAAGCCGCAGAGGGGGACCACTGTTCCACTGTCTCTATTTGCTGTTATCAATTGTACCAGACAATTAGGGGATAGACCATGGTGCTTTGATGTGACTGTCAGCCTTGTGGTCTTTTGAGCTGTGGCTCAGTCAGCCCTAATTCCTACTACAGTACAGCGTTTGAAGCCAGTGAAACAAGAATTGGATAAAGCAACTGTATGACCAATTAATGTGACAGCCAGTTGTGCTCATTGTTTGGAAACATGCATCATATACTGAAGCATACTTGTAAATTACATATGTAGAGGTTTTAAAATGCTTAAGAAGGCAGATGCATGTCTAAAATCATACACACATCACTCTGCTTGACATTCAGCAGATAAATGCATTAAAACTTTTCTTGTTTTAATTTGTTGATATTGTCTATATATTTACTGTAATTGCACAGCTAAGCTTGAGTTCAGAGGACAGAGTAGCCTCGATTTTAGGGGCTCTCTTAGAAAAGGCAGCTTGTAGGGGTGGTTTTAATAAATACATACTTTTGCAGTGCAAATAAAAACACCAAAATTACATTAAATCTACTGGACACTTGAAAGAGGAAAGGAAGAGATGACATAACCTGGCTGCGAGCCCAGCTTCCTGAGAGCTTACCGCCTTTCCTGTTGCTATGGTTACTTGCAGCAAGTTGCCAAGTGAAGATGGTTCCGTCATCAGCAACGAATCAGAGAAGCCGAATTCCGGCAGGGGCCTGACGGTACCGAAAGTCACAGCACAGCAGAAACTGACAAAGGAGGAAACGCGCAAGAGGGATGGTGAGAGTCACATGTAGATGCAAATACCAATGATTTATTCCGCTGCTCCTCTGCAGACAAGGTCAGGTGCGTCACAGATGGGAGAAGCACCTCTTTTCTTTTCTTGCATGAAAATGTTTTTTTCAGTCTCAGTCAAGCAGACAGGCAGCCTAACAGAAGCACTGCAGCTTTTTTTTAATAGTCCAAAGGGTTACCTGTTTAGTAGTGAGCAGAGATGGACCAAATGAATATGTATGAGAGAGACACTCAGCTGACATGACATGGTATGGCAGAGCACTCAATGCTGTGACACGCCAGCACAAGCACATACATGCACTAATGGTCAGGGAAAAAGTCCAGGATCAACACGCAAAGCCTGACAAAGGCCATGCAACGGTCATTTCTGCAAAAAAAAAGATTAGTATTGTGACCTATGACTTGTTCTATTTCTGTCCACGGTTGCTAAATGCCCCTTGAATGGTGGGTGTGAGTCAAATTAATCTATTGCTGCTTGTAAATTGGATCAAGCTCAGACAGTTATGATGTTCATAACGGGTGGATTTAAATTATTCATCAGCTGAGTTAAGGGAAACTACAGCTCTTTTTTTTTTGTCTGATAAAGAATGAAAGCACACGGTCAGTGTCTTTCATTTATCACACAGATGCACTTCCTTAACCTTGGAAGTCTGAGCTGTCTTTGTGATCTATCGTGCCTATCCACCGCTTCATTTGCTAAGACTGACGTCTGTTCTTTGACATAATGCCACAGGTACTGGGGGATGATGTGGTGGGGGTCATATGTGACGTTTTGTAACAGTTCTAAGCATTTGTTGTCTCTCTTCGTGAACTCTCTCTGTTCTTCAGATCCCTATGACACCTCCTCTGGTTCCCTACAGCTAATCTCCATAAAGCCCATGGCGGCTCACACAAACTACTCACAGCCTACGTCTTCTATCCACAGCCAGGACTCGGCCATCGTCAATGGAGAGGTGAAGCATGCCCTCTGCAATTAAACCAACCGAATGTACTATGCACAGACATAAACAACTGAATTTTCACCATCTATACTTTACTATGAGCAACACATTCTGTGTAAGATATTCATCACAAGTTACAACAGTTTGATTCACATGAGTAGCTTCACATGAGTAATGTTTTATTTCTCCAAAAAGGTTTGTCTCTTTTTTATTTTAATAGGACCTCGGCCTTTTTTGGAAGCATACATTTGTTATTAAGGCTTTTTCAAAGGCTTTGATGTAATTGGACAAATCAGAATTCTTCTAAAGAAAATGGTACTTCAGCTGCTTTTTCGGGAAGTTAGTAACAGCCTAAAGTTTGGACCCAAAAGAACTCCGTTGTCCTCCTTTGTGATGCTTGGCCAGCTGTTTGAAGCTGTTGTTTGTTGTTTTATGGAGAAAGACTGACTCCACAGCTTGTGTTAGAGAGAGTCCTTAGTTGTGCATTCATTTTTGGGTTATTTTCCATGTTTTTTGTAGCAGTATCTCACAGTCATATCATCAATAAATGCAGTGTTTTCTCATGCCATCACACTGGTGTCTGTTAAAAAAAAAAGAAGATGTTCCATGCTTCAGATCGCAGCTGTTCCAAACCTTCCCTATTCTCGGTTTCTTTTCCATGAAAAGAACTCTGCAGTCATCTCCCACTGTTAATTGAATGGATGTACGGGTCTTTTTATATCCTGAATGACCAAACTGTTAATTTGGTCTCTCTTTGTGCACTCAGCATCTTTGATATGGATTTATTTAGCCTTTGCAGGGATTATCCACTCTCTGAGGAATACTTTTACCACATAATGGGCTTCCAGTAGGGGCCTCTAAAAACAAAATCCACACATGGAATGCTTTGTAAATGTTTACCTGCTTAGGGTAAATTATAGAAACAACTGATAATCCACACTCACATAGAGTTACATAAGAGCTGTATTTTAAAATTGGGCATGTTGTATATTCATGATATAACTAGATCTTATTTGTCTGTATGTTTTGTATGTTTTATGTATGTTTTGTTGTGAGCTCTTCCAAGAGTTGTTGCTTAGAACTTAGACTTTAACTTTTTTTTTGTAAAATTAGTGCATTTGCTATTATCGACTAATTTTTCCAGTGAACCCCCTGATATTTCACATGCATGACCTTTAAGTCAGCATCATAGCCACACCACAAGAAGCACTTGAAATTGAAGAAATGATTGTCTGTGTTTGTTCCAATCTTCCCCTCTTCTGTTGCATTTGTGGGTCTGTCCTCTCTGCAGGTCAGCTTGGCGCTGAAGCAGAAATCCGACATTGAGCACTACAGGAACAAGCTGAGACTGAAGGCTAAGAAGAAAGGCTATTATGATTTCCCATCTGCCAATGGTGGCAGCAGTGGAGGTCGAGCCCTGGCGCAGAGACAGCTCTATGGCAATGAAGGGAGGGAAGCCGATGAACATAGCAGACCACTGGAGCCTGATGATGAGCGAGGGTCCACTTATGTCAAGTCCCACAGGAGGTGAGGGCAGAATGAAAAAGAAAATGGAACTTTGGTTGGGCTGAATATAAACTAAATGAAAAGTGTGTGCTTCGAGATGTCTTTTAGATGGCTACTCACATTTCAACCAGAGTGTATAAATAAGCTTAATCTTTTCAGATTTTTGCTGATTAATTAAAAACTGATGATTGAATAGAACATTTACATGTTTTCAAGCCCTTCATGTTGTGCTTGGTCTTAGCATCTTTGGCATACACTTATTCTTTTCAGACTGACACTAGATCTCTGGTCAACCCTTTGTTTTGAAGTTTTTCCCATTCTTCCAACTTGTTCCTTTGCCTTTATGAAGGTTTAAGAAGAAGAAAAACACCACATTTTAATACGAGTTTCAAACATAATTTTAACACTGAAAACGTGCAACATCTCTGAAAACTCACCTGCAATTACCATGGCTCCATAGCTGATGTTTTCTTGGTTTAAGCACATGTTTCATCTTGTTTGGTTTGTTGACCTGAAAGGGATGGATTACCATAATTACATTCTATCCTGATTAGCAAAAAAAAGTAGGGGTTTAGGAGGAAAATGATTGTGCTGGTTGTCAGTAACACCACCAACATCCTGTGCATTCATCAGTGTCTTCTCCTCCTCCAGTCTTGTTATTCGACTCTCTTCTCTGCTCCACTGTAATCAGTGCTGTTTTATGCTGCTTTACAGAAGCTAAAGGATAGAGAAGCTGCAAAAAAATAGCATGTTTAGTAGTTTAGAATGTATGTTATTTGCATTAAACATTTATTCTCTTTGTGTCGCAACCTCTTGTTGCTTTTGAGAAGGCACACCTTCACACATCTTTATTTCATTGGTTTAAAAAAAAAAAGCCAAATAAATAATGAATGAGGTTAATTGTGCCAGACCTTCCCTTAACTGTCACACTACACACTAAAAAGTGTGTTTAAACAATCTGAACCGATGGCTAAAAGTTTTATTTCTCCTGAATCTAGACTTTACTTTAATTGGCAGGCACTCCCAGGTAGGGCAGATGGCCTATCGCAGCAGACAAAGTTTGAGCAGCCCAAGCCCTGGAGGAACAGAAATGGACCTGCTTGTAATGAGAGAGAGACCCAGGAGAGGCATCCGCAACAGTGGCTATGATGTGAGTTACCTCCCATCCCCAGCAACCCAGTATGAACAAGTATATCAGCCGATGCACAGCTAAAAGATGTCTTTACATTTTTCTAAAATAATACTCCAATGGTCATTGTATAGAGCACCTATGCTTTTATGGTGTACATATAACTTTACATTTTAAAATGGGACGTGAAAAATGCACTAGTGCATATTAACAGATTCAGATGGGAACTATAGATGCCATGATTTTCATACTGGTACAGAATTAAACTCCCAGAGACTGATTTATTTAGATTTTAAAACTCATTGTCTAAATTCCAAAATCTAAATAAATCAGGTCTGTATTTCCTCTTCACTTCCCAATTCAAAACACTGTGAAAGAAAAGAGATATTTCAGATATTGAGAGCAGCCAAATGCAGACAGAGAAGTGGGTCATTCAAATCTAAGAGTAAAGATTTATAAGGCCCTCTCGTATTGATATATAATGCATCCCAGTAAGGCTGGTTTCTGTCCCGACTCCTGTTTTTTTTGCTCGAAATATTCAAGGTCCAAATAGTGATCTTGAAGACCATTCCTAAAAAGCACTTTCATGCTTGGAAAGTAATAAAAAATATTTCTATGAACTCGCTCTGACCCCTCAGCCATTCAACCTGTCACAGCACAAAAAGTGCAGGTGTAAATGTCTCTGGCGCTGTTTCATTTTTGGCTCACTGTGATTCAGAGGCTTAATGGAGCATTTAAGTGGAACGGCAATGTGCTTGTCCTATCAGTGCATATCAAATGTTCTGCTATGATAATCCCTTTTTTTTTTTTTTTTGTCGTATCATATTTCATACTGGTCCCTTGACCGAAATGCACTACATCGTCACAGGGATTATATCACAAAAACCCTTGACAAGCCCTCAACAGAAACATATTCTTTTGACTCTGCTTTGCTATGACTTTTGGTTTTGGGCTAAGCTTTGTGTCGTCAGCTATTCTACTCTGATAGGAATGTGTCACCATGACTAATACAGGTTACATCATACTTTAAAAAGAAATCTGCGACACAGTGCGTTAACACAAGGACCTGTGTGTCTACAGATACAACTCTTTGCTTTATTGCACTGGGGCTGATTTAGGAGGTATGCTGTGCTAGATTTCCCGTGACTGCCCTCAGTTCACACAGGAAGTGGGGCAGCTTTAACTTGTAAAAATTTGTGACTGGATTTAAAAGCTGAATATATGAACACTGTTGCTGAGGAGGAGGATGTGAAATGGTGTGGAGAGAAACATGGGAAAGTTTTTGAAAATATAGAGAGGAGATGATGTGTTTAATATCGATACAAGAAATATTCTAATATTGTATTTTTCTCTAAATAAAAAAGGGTATTTTAAGATTTTACAACAGAGTGTGTTCAGTCACGCTTAATAACTCTCTATTACGGTTTCCATGATACAGACTGAGCCAGAGCTGATTGAGGAGACTAACGTTGATCATCTAATGGAGCCGAGGGGGTACATGTATGGCCGGGGGCTGAAAGGCCAATCAGAAACGTCCACTCTGAGCTCACAGCCATCGATCGATGAAGTGCGACAGCAGATGCACCTGCTGCTGGAGGAGGCGTTCAGCCTGGCTTCGGGGGGGCAGTCCACCTCTGGAAGGCACGCCCACCATCACCAATCCCATCCTAACCACTACAGCTCTGCGCCACCTCCCCTCCCCTACTCAGAGGTGGTGACCAGCGCTCCGGGCACAATGAACAGTGGGCGTGGGGGCTTACAGTGGGCCCCCCCTTATGGCTCAGATATGTATCAGTGCAGCCTGCCTAAACCAGTAAGTTTATTGTGCTGTTTAGCCTTCAGTAGTGGAGAAAACCATCATCTTAAATGCATTTCATTATCTTTTAAAGGCCTTTCGCTTCACCCAGCTTCCCGAAATGGCCATGGGCTCCCCCCCTCCTTTACCACCTCGCTCTGGGCCTCCTCCCAGGACTTCACTAAGACGGTAAAGCTGTGGTCACGCACAGACGCATGCAGGCGCATAACACAATTATGATGTGCCTGTTAAATTTGCAGATAAAGAACATGGTAAAAAAGCTTATTAAAGAATTAAAGATTTAAAAGAATTGCTCTGCTGAATGCATTTAGTCAGGTTTTTATTGCACCAAATTATACATAAGACACGTCAGTGCCTTAATAACTTCAAGATATTATGTTATAGAGAAAAACTTTATGAATCCCCTTTTTGGAAGGACTTGCTTTAATAGAGGAAAAAAAACTGAATGAGTATCAGAATTGGTGTCTGACTCAACCAGCCGTAGTGAGGCAAGAGAGGGAAGATGAGCATTGAGATATGACAAACAATAGAGAGAATGATCCAGACAAGTACACACAGACACACACAACTTGCCTGTGGCATCCAAAAACATTTAATATATTCTTAATTTAATCTCTTCCAAATTCAAATTCAGAGACTATAGTTGATGTGCTGTGGCCGGGGTGATTTTAGGCCTCGTATAAATTTCAATATTTAAGAAGTGTATGTGGAGATGGCAAGAATGTTAAAAAGGTGCTCGTTTTTTTTTGCATGGAGTGTGTCTGCCACCTAGTGGTGTTGGATGTCCTCAGCTTTTGGTTTTTTGCATCTCTCTTCAACTTAGTTCCACCTCAGACTTGGGGCCTAAGGGAAGGAGCTCTGAGACATCTGTCACTGAAATGCGGAGTCAACATGAAAACAACCCATATGGGCCAACCCCTAGAGCAGCACTTCCATCCATCACGGCGGAACAGCCTGTGTCCAACTACTCAGGTGAGCAAATAAGGAGATGACTAAGCAACTCTAAATTAGTTCATTACGATCTGCCAATCTATGCCATATGTACAATTTTCAAAGAATTGGTCTGGTCTGACAAAATGAAACATTTGTAATACGTTAATCCGCTATCTCACTTCTATCTCACTTCTCTTCTTAATCCGCTATCTCAACAGGAAACCCAATAACAGCTGTCTACTCCATCCCAGCTACCAGGCCTGGCTACTCAGAATATTTTGTCGCCTCGTCTCCCACCTCATATCACAGCCCCTCTTGGATGTCCTATCCACCAGAACCAGAGGATGTTCCCCCACAGTGGGCGGATTCTGTAAGGAAGCCCATGATTCTTGCGTCTAAACGGACTCGTAAATATGATGACAGGATAAAATGCACTCCTTTTTAAGCACACGTCCTAGTGTCCAGAACATCAGGAAGTTAATCCCATGAAAGGAAGTTGATCTGAATGACTGATGTAAAATGTATTGCATGGGTTAGAATTTATCTAGACTTTGGTATTTTGAAGATAATTTAAGGTCTTGGTTTCCTTAGATTACCATTTGCAAGGTAGTGTTATCACTTCCTAACATTCATCTGGATGTTTTCTCCTGACCTCTTCTAAACCTTTCAGCTTCAGAAAGGGTGCCATAGCAAGTTCTCAGCTATGGATTCTAACATAATGAACATTCACACATCAAATAAGTTTAGAACAGAGGGGATATATGCCACATGGATTGATTTGATTTTTGTCTTTTGCATTCTGTCTTGTTGTTCTGCACATGCTTTGCCCTCATGTGTCCTTTTACCATCTCATCTGTTTGGTATTGAGTATGAGAATTTCCAGTTGTCATTTTAAAAATGTTAGAATCCATATGACCCTTACATGTGTTCACGCCCTCCCCGTGAATCGGACTGTCCTTTTTGGTATGGAACGATGTCCTTTTTCCCTGTCTGTGTACCTGTCTCAACCAGATGCCCTCACACTGTCTTTTTGCAGAACCAGTGTCATTTAGAAACCATTTGCTGAACTGAATGTAAGGCTGGCGTTGAGTGGACACAACAAAACACTGGGGTAGTTGAGCACATTTTTCTAAATGAACATCTTTTTTTTCACAGTCTTCTTCAAAAGTTGCCTATTTCTGTTTCAAACACTGACAAAGAATTAACATAATTTATTTGTAGATGTGTACGTTCATTGCTTCTTTTGTTGTTGTTTTTTTGGACCATCAGTAGAGGTTTTTGTCAGACGAAGTTTTGTTCACCTCACTATACCACCTATATGTTTTCTTTGGGTAGCTATTGAAGTGGACCAGTTCACTTTGCATAATGAAAAACTAACATACATTTAATCAGCAGTCATTTTTTGAGGGTGGTCATCAAGATTTCACTGTAATGTGATGCCCTGTCTGCTGTGTTTTTCAGGTACCATTGCCTGGGTATGTAGAGGCTTTCCCTAATCCACGTTATCCACAGGGGAGCCCCACCAGGCTTCCCCTGGAGTATCACCAGACACTGGAGCAGCCGCCCACTGGCCCCAGCACAGCATCAGAGCCAAACCGGCCTCAGGTGCTGAAAGACATGGACAGTATGCCTCTGAGCAGCCTCTCCACCTCTGCACTCGTGCAGGCTATCAGACAGGAAGTAGCAAAGCTGGCAAAGAAGCAGAATGATGTGTTCGAATTCTAGTTATGATCCCCCCCACGTGTGCAAGAGATAGTTAAATGTGCATTGGTCGTGAACAGAGACACACAAAGGAAAGACATCTTCAGACTGATTTTTAATCTTTATACTGTCTACAGACTGATATTCTATACCTGATGATTATCCACCTCTTATTTTCACATACCATTGGTGTGTTTTTAGCTCTACAGTCAACGGAACAGAAAATATTATTTTAACAAAAAAAAAAATCCCTACTCTGTCAATGATGTCCCAAATAATCACACATGCCTTTGTAGATATGTCAAAAGGATTCGAAAAATGTCAAAAATATCCTTTTTCGTTTTTGACCTTTTTTAATATGAATCTGCATCAATTAACAAAAGAAAAAAATTAACATCGTCATCTGTACCGAGAAAACCAAATTCTCCCTGTCAGATGGTAAAGTATAAATCACAGTGTATATGAGCATGTACAGTTTAAGGACATCATGTATCTAATCTCCTTTTACAGAGCGTCAGCTTAAACGAGGCAGGCTTCATCAACATAAACTCACTTTAGCATCCGTTCCATATCATAATGATATCATAATGATTTTTGAGAAATCTTCCAAATGTTTGTTTACATGTGAGATAACAACATGCCGTTGATGCAAACAACGACTGCCATCATATGTTGAGAGATTTAAACTGTTGCTTCTGGTGAGTAATGTACACAGTATGAAAGTATTTGTGTTTTCAACCAAATTTAGTTTGCTGTAACGTTACATAGGATGCGTCCCATGAAGCAACTTGTGGTGAGAATGTTCATGTTTGTGCTTCTGATATGGGTGGTTAATCACCATGATATGTTTGCACAAAATATGCAGATTTGGAAATTAGTGATAGACCTTTGAAAGGCAGTTTGTGATTTTTAAAAGATAATTTGCTTACAAGTGTCTCAAAAAAACAAATTCTTTCAAAAGCCCGAAATGGAAAAAATTGTTGAATTGAAAGAATATCTGTCAGATGAACATCACAAGATGGCAGTTTGATGTCAGTTACAGTGGTTTGAAGTTGTTCAGATGGCTCTATGCATGCACAAGACAAAAACAAATCTTGCCCTTGGACACATTCTACATTTTTATTTCTATTTTTCTCATTTTCTAGTCAAGCTAGAAGTTTAAAGTGTGTTGAGTGCACACTCCTATTGCAGGAAAAACCTCTCGGTGTCCGTCTGCAAATATATATCATACAAAGTTCATGAGCAAAATTGGCTTTAAGCGAGCATGGTTTCAAAACGACTCGGACTGTATGTTGAACATTTCAACAAGAACAATTTTAGAGGAAATGGTCAAATTTCTCTCTGGAATTTCAATGTACCCTGAATCATCTGGTTTGAAAGGTTCAAAGTACACACATAATGTTTCCTGGATATTCTCCTTAAGGAACCATTTTTGTCAAATTAAATATCTCCAAAAGAGGTTTAAGATTAGCCTGATAGTAAGGTGAAAACATGAGTACTATTAATAGAAAATTACAGCTGAAAAACTCATTATTAAGGTCCAGGCTCAACAAGCTGCTGGGCAGAATACAATATTATTAGACCAAAATGTTCAGGTTAAAGAAAAACATCATCTGGAGGCAGAGACCACAAAGGAAGGAAATTAGCATTTTTTAATAGAGTATTTGAGGATCAGGCTGATATGTACAATGGTGTGGATTTATTTTCTTGGAATCAATCAGCCATTTCTTAGTTTGTTTTGGTAATAAGACCTCCATGAGGCCACCATTCCGGGCCACAAATCTGTTTATGAACTGTTCAGTCAATACTATCACATATAAATCAGAGAATTAATGCAAACTTGAAAAGAATTGATCTTTTCTTGTCGCGTATCAGCTGGCAGGAGCTAAATAAGATAAGATAGACCTAAAGATGACATGCTGATATGGGGATAGCTCACAGGATTCCAATGACATACTTCTATCTATATCAGGAAGCTAGAGACTGGCTATGATGGAATGTTATATATTAAAAAACTGAATACTTTTCAGAATATATCGTATTGCTGGAAAGTGGTTGGGTGTTACAAAAGAGAGATCATTATGAGTGAATTTGCCTTTAAAGGATTATTTCCTTTCACAAGAAATGATTGATTTTTTTTTCAACAAGACAGGATGAATTTAGCCCTTTGGTTTTTGAACAAAATAACATGAATAATTTCTCCCCACAAGGCTCTTAAAACAAATACTTATAAAAAATTCACTACTTTTCTTTATTTTCTGTGATTCATGATGGTTATTCTGAGAAGCACTTGTATTTTAAGAGCTGTAGCTAATACAGATTAACCATTTTTGTGTATTTCAGAAGTGAACACCTTTGCACATTCTCATGCTGGATAACTGTAATATTAAATAAAAGGGTCTGAGGCAATTTATTGGTATAGAAAAGTGTCCAGTGTTTATTACGAGACACCCCTTGAGCCATGATTTCAATGTGGTTTGACGCACACGCACCATCATCCAGTTCTCAAACCTTAGGTGCCTGGAGAGTGGTGTTTCGTAGATGTGTTGACGGCTTTAGATGATTATACTGTATATTTGTAGTAACTCATCAACAGCACATCTAGTGTACTCAAACTTATTCATAAGGCTGTACATAGTTTTGGTTTAGCAGGAGTAGCAGTTTTCCAACATAAAGTAATATATGAGTGTCATACTTCTAGACCACCACACAACAGTGTGAGGATGTAGCTTTTAGCCAGAGGCCCTGACTGTCTTGTCTGTTAGAGCAGATTCAATTACATTAGTGTCACTGGCAGGTAAAAAAAGATTGACTTCAAATTAATTGAGTGCACATTGGCCTTTTTAAACTTTAACATTTGAATTACAGATGTTACTTGAACAACTAGTTCCACAGCGTAGTGTACTAGTTGATTTTTAACTTTAGACTTAAACATGAGAGCTGGAGCAATGAGGGATGGAGCAAGAAAAAGGTGTAAGTGTGACTTTATAAGATGAAAACTCCTCAGAAAATGTAAAATGGGGGGATTCACCAATTGAAAAGGTCAACTTTAAAGGTTAGGTATCACATGGGAATGTAATGAACTTGTAATGTTAATGTTAATAAACTGTTGATGGAGGAAAAACTAGCATATGAGAGGATAAAATATAGGTCTGATGAGCACAGAGTCACATTTAATTTATTCACTGACTGCTATAGTTTTCAGATACAAAAAATGTTTCAGAAATAAATGCTGCTTTGAAAGGCCACGAGATGTGTCAGTCTGCTGCCACTAGATGGTGTGATGGGCTTTTATTTGTGAGAAAAGAACCTGCGTGAGCTGGAAATACCTCGAACTTGCCGTTATTGTTTTCCAAACAGTAAATCTTTCATGAGTGTTAAGGCATTTCCTTTCATTTAGCTTCCATTTATCTTATAAATGAATCAAATGTTTTCCATTGTGACAACTAAAGCCTGCTAAACATTCCTGCATATTTTTTTTTTTTTAATTCAAAGAAATTGACTTTCTGACTTTCTGTATCTTCTTCTCACCCAAGTCTGAATTCTCTCCAAAACCTCTGTTTTTCCCCACTTACCAAAGGACAAACAAATGATTTAATCAAATGGTTGATTGGTGAATCTCAATGGGCCTTTGTGCTCAGTGTGCCTGGATGTCGCTTTTACTGGTTTCTGTGCTCGATTTCTGGCTGTAGTTGTTAAAGTACTATTTTTGTCATATTGGGGGTAACAACAAGGGTATTTTCTATATATAATCTATCTATCTATCTATCGACCACAACCCCAGTTTACCAATCCATGTGACCCTTTCAGCCTGAGCCTGGCCGTGCTTCATGCGTAAAAGTCCGTCCACCAGGCTCTCTCCATTGTGCCCCACCTCCAGGTCTGGCTCCAGAGCGGGGCCCCGGTGACCTGTGTCCCGGCGAGGGTACACTTGGTCCATTTCTATTTTTCATCATAAAGGGTCCTTGGGCTGGACTTTGTCTGATCCCCCGGCTAGGATCTGTGTGCCTAGTGTTACAGGGGCTTGAAGCCCCGGACAACATAGCTCCAAGGATCATTGGGACACTCAACCCCTCCACCACAAAAAGGTGGTAGCCCAGGGAGGGGCTGATGCAGCACCAAATGTATGTATTTGTAAAAATGTATTGAGGCATTCTATCACAAACACTATAAGCACAGTGCTATTGACCTGTGAAAAAATATAACCACATCAATATCTATGTAACTGTCCAGGGTGTGCCCTGTATCTATTTTATCAAATTCTTCAGACACGACAACAATGGTTATCCTTACAAATGGACCCAGGCGTTTGGGAGTATATAGCGTTAGTCAAATGTGGTGCCTGGTGGAAGTAATACATTTCTTCACTTCATAAATTTCTTAATGATTGAAATAAAAGGTTTAAAGACAACATTGCCTTTTGAATCCATGTTGATCATAATGGAGAAAACGGCTTACTGTTTTCCACTGAACTCTTTCTAAGGGCGTAATTTCAATATGGGAACTCAGTGGGCGGTGTGTTGAAAGCCAGATAAAAAAACACTTACTGAATCTTAACTTCACTGGGGCGTCTCAGAACTTCTAAGTGTGGAACATAAAGATTATATAAGCAGTTGCACATGTGCAGCTGATGCTGAGGTTTGAACAAATCACGCATAAACAGTGAATAAAGCGTTGCCTCTCTCTCTCTTTGTTCTTTCAGCTGAATTCTAAATAGGGGAACTTCAGAGCAAGATTTCCATGTGAGTCAGTCATCAATTTCCTGGAATTCTATTGATTATTCCTCTGCCTAAACACTTCTGTACATCACAACAACAGTTATCAAACGACGTGTGCAGACTACCAGTTCTTGCTTTACTGCACAATGAAAGTAATTATTCTGTAGCTGCATGCCAGTTTTTCCTCTTAATTTCCTTGATGTCCTCACATATTTGATGTACTGACTGTTCTGAGACACTAGAGGCTATCCAAGACATTTAGCTCAGCATGTGCAGCCTTACTGCTGATGGAGCAGACGACCAGGACATTTTATTTTCCATGCATACATTGATGAGCATATACTGATGACCAAATTACTTGTATATCTATGTTTTAATCAATCAGTTTTTCATGGAAAGTGAATGACATTTACAGAACTAGTCACACATCATTTGCTAGATGGCTGTTTTAATGCTTAATTGGCCCTTCATCTACCCACATTTGTCTTATAATATCTTTGAGATCAGATATTTGTGTGAGAAATACTTTTTACTGTTGTTGTGAGTGGATGAAAAGCTTTCCAACTGACAACAGAAACCTGTGCTTAAAATGCACACATAAAGCCGTAACAAGCAAGCAGCAATGGAGTGCAATTTTGTTTTGATGCGTTTTTGGAATGTTACACCACACACACAGTAAACAAAAGGCTAAGACTATATGTTCATTTAATATCTGCAGATTAAATACATTCCATATATATTATATTTTTTAATTTTTCTGCATTTAAACACGACATGTGACCATTCAAAAACTAAATAAAAAACAATAATAAATAATTTAACTCAAAGCTAAAATCAAACATTGGAAATGCAGAGACATGCTTACAGCTTTCTATCTGGCAGACAAACAGTCTCATTAGTCTGCTCATGTTTCTTTTAAAAGGTCTCAGGCAAAGGCACCAAACTAATTCTGTCTTAATGCAAAAATCTATAAAATAGCTAATCCCTCATGCTGTCTTGAGGGTGAGTGAGTCAAGTATCTGCTGTAGCTTAAGAGACATTGAGACAGTTATAGTGGCAGAGATGTCTAATAAAGCTCTTGCTGTTTAAAATACAATTTACAAACCTTTAATTCAAATCCCTGGCCTTAAATGGTCTTTTCAAATAATGCCTCTATTTATGATTTAACCTAACCATGCTTTGGGGATTTTAACCATTTGGCAAGTTGGCCATCATGACATATAAAGAATCCTTCTTTTAAAATAACTATAATTAGTATCTCTACATGAAGAGGTCGACAGATTAGAGACCATCCAGTTTACATTCTAGATTAAATCTAGATCTGGGCTGGAAGCTATTTAGTGGTAAATGGCAGGCTGGGCTCCTACTTTGTAACTTGGCTATTTAATTACAACTCTGTCTTGGTTCTAATGGAAATCATCGACAAGACTTTGGCTGGGTGGAACATACTGTAAAGAGCTTTGGTTGGAGCAGCAGTAGTGAAGCTGGCAAAGCTTAGCTCTCTTATTTGGATTAATATCCTCAGCACCTGTCTTAGGGGAAATTAATGGGTGTTACTGTAAGCAGCTTTCTTTCATCCTCAAACCTTTTTCTGCTGATTTCTTACTTTCTCGACCCTTTCTCCCAAACCTTTCTACCTCTCCCTCTTGCCCTTCCCATATTTCCACTGCGTAGATTAATTGCCCAGTGATAGCTTATGTTAAAGACTGCTGTGAGTTTCCCTACCCAGCTGTTTGAAACCATTGTAGTCAGCAAGATTTGGCTGCTTGGCCCTCATTTGCCTCTTCTCACACTCTCATCCCTTCCTTATCCAATTCTCCTTCAAAGCTTCTCGTCTTTTCCACTACTTTCTCACTCACTCTTTCTACTCTGTGGCCAGTTTGTAATTTCCTTGGCCAAGGGAACTCAATAATGATGGATACTGTTGTAACACTGTGGACATGAAGTCTCAGTTTTATAGGCAACTTGGAGACTGGCATTAGTTGGATAATGACAAAAGTAAATAATTGATTATGAAAGGCAATCTTTCGCTGCGGCTATGAGAGTTGCATCTTGGGGTTTTCCTCTGCTTGTTTATTGGGTCTTTTCCATGATGTTCAGTACAGGTTAAATGCTATTCTTCAGAAAAAACATCAGACAACCGTGCAAACCTTCTAACTAAGAGCGTATTACAGGTTTTGAAGGTTTCTTACATTTTTTTTTCACATTTCTGGGCCTCAAATTGCCCAGAGGCTGCGATATGGAGTTCAATATTGGTTTCCGTCCTGGTGCCACCCTGTTTCGCTTCACTATAACATGAACTAAAAACTTGATTGATAATAAAATGTTAAAGTGTTAACAATTATAGCGGCAAATGCAACTGAGATAAATGACAAAACTATGATAGGAAGCGGGAAGAAAAAGACGAATGTTGCAGGATGAATTGAGCCTGCTCTTAATGATGAAGCACATCCAAGAGGGGTTGTGAGTATAAAGGGAGGCTTCTTCATCTGCCTCTCGATGCCCTCTGACATGGTCAAAAGTTCAGCATGGGTTGCTGTTTGTTGCTTGTTTGGTCAGCAGTATCTTCTACAATTGTAGTGCTGTAGATGGTTGTTGTTTAATCCATCTTAGTGGCCAATTCAGAAACAACTATTTGATGGAATTTTCTACTTTTGCTGGGATCTGGTAGTAAAGTTCCCCCAGCCGATATCACCACAGCAAGGGGTAGGTATGGTGTTCATTGTCAGGATTCCTGCACTATTTTGATTCAAAATAGAGCAGCAAATAAAAGATCTCATACTATTGTGCTGCCACATGTACGAGATTCAGGTTAAATGTTATAACCCGACAACCCTCCAATATTTCCCTCCTGTGGGTTTATAATCATGAAGAGTATGTTCATGGTAATTTCTTTCTCTGATCAATGTTGGCTGTTCATCGGATGCAGCAGAGCTGTGGAGGATTCCTCTAGCAGAACTAATGAAAAATGTTTATATGCACTGCGTTTTTTCATTTTTAAGAGTTATATATTATGACAAACAGAAAATTGGCAACATTACATCAACTGTGTTTATCAAATGTTAAAATAGGTTGTTGGATGTGATGTAATAGTTTTTAGTCTTGGCATCACAGATGAAGCCTCAATCAGCACCTCAGTCTTTCAGACTCGCATACAGAGTTCTGTAAAAACTTAATGTCATAAGTTCTGATACAAATTTCAGAGCATATTTATTGATTGCATATATTTGCTACGTTCCTTCCCATTAGCATCACCAGATTAAATTTCACTTCTTGCAGAAATCAGTGACTGTTTAACATTTTCTGAAAAAGCCTTTCTCAGAAGTTAAGTGTTTATACACTTTTCTGACACAGCAGCCATGGCAAACTTTCACTGCAGTGGGTTCACTGCTCAACCTCACCTGTGCTCTGTAGGACACCTTTCCTAGTAAACTGCACATTCCATATTGTGACTTGTCTGAGCACTGCTGTCAGGCATAAGGGAGTGAAATGAGGCAAAGGAGGGAATGAAAGCCAGAGAAGCTTATTG